ACACACACACACACACACACACACACACACACACAAGAAAACCAACCAAAAAACCCCCAGAAAGAAAAGAGCAAACGTCCAAAAGGAGTGGAAGGGGACAGGACGCGGACCAGAGAACAGAACCACTTTGCACTTTCAGAAGATTTCAAACCTGTGTTTGTTCACAGTTCAAATAGTACATGTATATTATACCAACGCCTGTTGTGTGACTCTTATACGCTTCGCCATCACACGCAGAAGACCGGAGTTCGCTTCCCGTGTCATCATCATCCAGTGCCAGACCTGTGACAGACATCGGCGATCATGGTTCTCCATTCATTCCTTTGCTCGGATGCTCTTAAAAAATCTACGTTTCCCTGATTTTTTCCCGTTACCCATTTGTTTAGGTTCCCTAGAGTGGTATCAAAAATGCATGGCGCAACTTATTGTTGAAAATCTCCTTAACTATCGAACATAGATGATAGATCCTCCAACTTTATCAAAATGACTTATATCAATTTGCCTTAACAGGTGAATAATTTTTCAAACTCCTGCGCACTATATTCTATAAAATTCCGTAATATATTATACTAATAAAAAATCTCAGGCGATGGTTTCTACAGATTTCTTTTATAGTTTACAGCTCGGGTAATATCGAGCAAGTCTTGTCATTTTTTTTCTAACCGCAACATTATGCTTATTGAACGTATGTTTAGGGAACCTTTAGTGCAAAAAAATATCTTCACTATAAAATTAATTTCTTGTAAGAAGCTTTGCCATTGAAAGGTGTCTTTGATGAGCTGTGACGTAGGCCATACGCGTATGCAAAATGTGTGCGAGAAGCGGGAAGTGCTATGAACAATCACGGAAACCACTCTTTTAAAGGTATCATCAGATGTTTTAAATGAAATCTATAAAAAACAGCAACTGTGTTTTGGTTCTACTTGATTTGTCAGCGGCGTTCGATACCATCGACCACGAATTTTTACTAGAGAGATTGGAAAAGTCATTTTTACTATCAGGTACTGTTCTAATGTGGTGTAAATCATATCTAGAAAAATCATATTTTAAAAGAACTACTCTGGCTCCCGGTGAAAGAGCGTATCATATATAAAATCTGTTTAACTTGCTACAAGTGCTTACTTGATTTATCACCTGACTATCTAAAACAGTTTTTAACACCCTATGTACCCCCTAGAACGCTCAGATCATCAAGTGACAAAACAACCCTTGTTAAACCTAAAATAAATTACAAATCATATTATGGCCAACACTCTTTTTCATATTTTGCCCCACTTGTTTGGAATTGGCTTCCAAAAACTATCAGAGAGGCAGAAAATCTAGAAATTTTAAAGAGGAAACTAAAAGCATTTCTGTTTTCATCATACTTCGATTAGACAGAATCCATCCAAGATCGTTGTGAGTTTGTATGTACCTATGTGCGTATGTACGTATGTGTGTATGTATGTGTGTATGAGTGTGTGGTGTGTGCGTGCGGGAGTACGTGTGTGCACGCGTATGAAACATTATGTGCTTTTAAAATTGATTTGTAAATCCATAATATGTATCATGTTAAGCGCATAGAGCATTGCATAAGTGGATATGCGCAATATAAATGCAACCAATTTTTATTTTTTAAAAATTATTTCCCGCATGAAGGAGGTTTGTAGTATTTTATATACCTTTATAAAGAATAGTTTTTAAAAACGATCCTCAACGGTTGTGGTAAAATATGATTAAGTTAAGACAAATTGAGACAAACTGCTGTGCAAAGTATGGGTGCCATTGGTTCACTCGTTTTAATATATGAGGATAAGTTGCACCACGAATTTTTGACCGCACTGCTATAAGTAGGTTGCTCTGGGCCTACTCCTGCCTCGTTCTCTTCCTATTTGGGTAGAAGTTCTATCGAGTACTTCTGTCTGTCTGCTGAGGTGTTGTGTCCCTATGGTCCCTTGTCGGCCCTGACAGGCAGGGTGGAAGCTTGCGCTTTCTTTGTCAGCTAAACTGTGTCGAGGAGGACGTAAAACACAGCCTCATGACATGGAGAATCAACAGTGTATTGCTGGGACAGCGGAAGAGAAAATACTATGGAAGAAACGGGGGAAGGGGGGGGGGTAAAAACCCTTGATTTATCCAACTCACAACGTTCGAATAATTTGTCTGTCTCCTCGGGAGAAAAAATCAGCGAGCCTATAGATTATAGGTCTGGTGGCAACTGGACTGGCTTGGTTTACCGGGAGGCTTCCCGCCATGAGAAACTTTGCTACTCGATGGCAGAAATTCGATCCTGCCCCCTAAATCATTTTGAGGGCGTGGGCGCTTTTTAAAGGAGCGAATCGATCGTGTCGACATAAGACATCCCACTGACATAGATATCTGTGGTTGACTGAGGAAACAGCTGTAGATTATTGTTAGGTAGGTCAAACGTCTCAAACGTTTTTGTCCCTTGTTCAGATGTCTCGTGACGTGTGATGTTTCTTTCCGTCTACACGCGGGACGCTACCTGTTTTGTTGTCGATAAGAATACGCATGTAGGTTATCTTGAAAAAAAAGTTTGTGATACAGTCAAACCTGTCCGGCCACCAATCGTCATGGACAAAAGTATGACACAGGTGGCCGTTTAGTTGTAGTTTTAGTTGTAGTAGAGGTCTATTTATTTATTTATTTATTTATTTA